TCTCTCTCTCTCTCTCTCTCAAATAAATAAATAAATAAATAAATAAATAAATAAAATTTAAAAAAAATTAAAAGAAAAAAAAAAGCCTGGAGATGCCAAAACATGTTTCCTAACCTGCTGGTCTTTTTTCTGCTCTTGAGTCCATTCTGTCCATCTGTATGTACGAATAACACAGGCCGTGTTTGTTTCCTGGTACTACTAGGACAAAGTGTCATCGATTTAGCCCCTTAAGTGATAGACATTTATATTCTTACATCTCTGGAGGCAGGACATGGAGACCAACATGTTGGTGGGTGTTACAGCTTGGATGTACATGTCCCCCTAAGTCTTACAGAAAGAAGTGGGGAGCTTCAAAGGTGGCTAGATTAGGGTGTGTGATGCAGGTACTGAGGCAGTAGATCAGAGAAGCCCGACCATGGGCATGGGTGGCACAGTCAATAGGCTTATAGCCTGGATGGGACATAAAGGGAAGGAGGGAAGGCAGGATTGCTGCTGCTGCTGCTGCTGCTGCTGCCTTCTGCCCACCATAGCATGCACCATTTCTCCTCTGTGATGTCCCTCAGCTGTTTCACCCTGACTTGGAGCCAGCCAACTTCCAAATGAAGCCTCAACAAAATGTGAGCTAAAATAAGCCTTTCCTCCACTCCCTTGTGGGTGCCAAGTGTCTTGTCCTAGCAAGGAAGGAGAAAAGGAACAGAGAATGGGGTTGGTTCCTTAAGAGGTCGGTGAGAGGAGGGTCTGCTCCAGACTCAGGATTTGTGTCAACCTCCCTGGGCCATGGGACGTCCAGTTAGCCAGGTAAACACTATTTCTGAATGCAGCCTTGAGGGTACGCTGAGAAGAGCTGGGCACGGGAATGCGTGTACTTGGAGGCCCTCCCCAGCGTGGGTGGGTCTCATCCAACCCTTCAAGGTCTTGAACCCACTGAAAAATGGAGGAAGCCTGAACTGGCTCTGGGAGCCTGGCTAGCTGTGCTCAGTCGCAGGTCCTGTCCTGCCTTGGACTCAGTCCTGGCACTCAGGCGAGAATGAATTCACCGGCCACTTTCCTGGATGCCGGCTCAGAGACAAGAACTGGTGGAGCCGCTCAGCCTGCGTGATTTCATGAGCCCATTTTCATCATCAGTTTCATTTCTCTCTCTTACTGCTTCCGTTTTCCAGGAGGACCACAGTCCGAGGCCTTTCCTTGTCCCTATATCGCCTGTGTGCACATATCAGTGTGCCAACTTCCTCTTCTTAGGACATCAGTGATGTTGGCTTAGGATCCACCCACAACTTCATTTGAACAATCACTCCTATCAAGATGCTATTTCCAAATAAAGCCATTCTGAAGAGTTGGGGCTGGGACTTCGGTACAGGGACGGAGGGGCTGGCTGACCCAGCCATAACAAGGTGTCTACAGCTAACTGTGGCTCATTTCAATGCAATCTGCATTTTAAAGAACCCAAGGGAATGGAGCTTATATGCTAGGATTCTGAAGGTCAAGTGAAAGTAGTTTTCTGAGCAGTCCAGGCTCAGAAAGGCGCACCCCAAGGTTCTTAACCGTACCCCAAAGGTGTGTGCCACACCCTCTAGCTGGGGACCCCGGTAACTGGCAGAATGCGAGTGATTATGAGAACAGATCATTGTGACAGCAGCCAGGCTGCAGAATCTGATGAAGTCAAACATCACTGCCTTAAAAGATGTCCTCTGGCCCGGGTCGCCTGCACTGTGGCCTCCTAGATGGCAACAGAGGACAGGGAGGCGATGGAAGCCCGGGGGGCAGGAGAAAGTTGTCCCACCTTCTCCAAGTTGGTGCCTGGTGATGCTACACCTGAAGGGAAGCCCAGGGTCCTGCTGGTAAGGGGCAGGCCCCTCTCGCTACGCCCACTTCTCCGGGGGAACCAAGAGTGTTCCAGGGACATGTGCAGGAGCTGGGTGCCACGAGGTTCAGAGGGACACCAAGGAGAGCAGGACCAGGACCCCCTTCCCATAACTTGCACCCAGCTGTCACGGGGTTGAGGGCAGGAACCTCACTCCTCAAAGCTGGCCTTGTTCTCTCTCAGCTAAGGAAAGGGACCCCCTGTAAGGCCCTTTGCTCCCCGTAGGTAGGCATTCCCACCTGTCTGTTGGTCCTGTATATTTAGGCTCTTCCAATACAGACTCTAGATTTTTTCCTCTCTCCATAACCTCTGTATCTTAAAGTTAGCTACAGTGGGCCTTAGGAATGTGATTTGAACATCAACAGAAACACAATCTCTCTTCCTATCCCAATGCCCAGCTTGTAACTCTAGACATATCCTTTTGTGGCTTGTATTTTCCTCTGCATCCCTGCCTGTCCAAGACAGGCCTGTGCCCCACCCCTGGTCCCTGGACCATGCCCAGGCTCCACCTGTGGGGAACCAGTCCAGTTCTCCAGGCCTTCCCCCACCCAGGCACCACTTGCAGGGCAAATGAGGATGAATGACAGAGACACCAAGTCAATGTAGCACACGGGCTCCACCCCTTCATAGGCAGAGGAGCCCGCCCGGCCCATCCTATGTTCACTCACCCAGGCACAGGCACAGCATCTAAAGTACCACAAGGTTCACAGGGATTTTATCCATTAATTCGTCCCCAGGGAAACCATTTCATCTCAGCTGCAGTGACTTCCACCCCTTTTGCTCTCAGAGGTGGCCCAGGGAGCCTCAGTTGGCTGGGGGATGGGGGCAAGACTGGTAACTGGCAGAGTGCACTTCCAGCAAGTCCCCAGAGCTGAAGTTTCACAGTAGGACACTTTCTAACACCCTAGGCCACCGTGGCTGAGACCCCTGGGGCGCAGCGGGGTAAGGACCACCCTAGACTGACTCCCCACTGTCCCCACGCGTGCTCCAGGAGGCAGAATCCCTTAAACCAGACTCATCCTACAACTACCTAGAGGAGATGGACACAGGCGAGGACCGAGGCTGCCCAGGGCTCTCCAAGTCCGGCCCGACCACCAAGGGCCAGGCAGGAGATGCACCCGAGCCCACGGAATTTTCCCCGGCCCCAGGGCCGGAGCACCCGGTCTCAGTGGAACTGGAGAAGTTGCGCATGGACTTCGAGCTGGTGCGGCTCAAACACCTGCACGAGGAGAATGAGCGGCAGCGGCAGCACGAGGCAGTGATGGCGCAGCTGCAGCAGCAGACGGCGCCACGGCAGGTGGGTGAAGCATGGGGCCCCTTCCTGGAGCCCCCAAGGCAAACCGAGACTCACTGTCTAGGCTAGCAGGGCTCACGACAGCCTGGGAGAAGTTTCCGCCATTCACAACCCTCTTTGTACCTTACAGAATAGTCCTGAGTCTATAGAGTCCAGGAGTCCCCTGCAGCACCCCGAATGTTGCTACAACCGCTGCCTCCCTGGCCAGGGCTGCCTCGATCTGCCAGACCTCACTGCCTGTGTCAACACCAACAGCAGTCTTTCCATAAGAAATGTCCCCTCCACCCTTGTGCATACTAACCGGGCATAAGATTGCCCACCTTAAAGCTGGGTGTGATGGCACACACCTATAATCCCAGCACTCAGGAGGCTGAGGCAGAAGGATCACCATGAGTTTGAGACCTGCCTAAGTAGTTCAAGGCCAGCCTGAACTATACAGTGAGATCCTGTCTCAAACACTTAAATGAATGCCCATGAGACAAATTGAGATGTAGAGTGCTTATTGCAGTGGTTTGACCATCATAAACAATCAGGAAAGAATTTTTTTTTTTTTTTTTTTTTGTGGAACCGGGGATCAAACTCAGGCCCTTGAGCTTGCCAGGGAAGCGCTTATTCCACTGAGCCATCTCCCCGGCCCCAATCAGGAAAGATTTAACTGTTGACAGCAGTGTTTCCTAGATTTGCAATTCCGATAGCCTTGGGTTAGCACACTAGCTCTGCTCTGGCTAACCACTGAGGCGGTTACTGACCTCCAGGGCCTGCTCTGCTCACACCTGTTTCCTGCAGCTGCTGGGAGGGTCACAGGAGAGGACTCAGGTGAAGCTTTTGGCAGCAAGCCCAGTACATTAGGTAAGCACTCAACAAATGGTGGCTAGTCCCACTTTCATGTGCTCATGCAATGCACTCCCTGACCCAAATGCAGCAGCTTACATTCGTCACTTTTAATTTTATTGGGATGTAATGCATGAGCTCCGCTTCCCAGCTCTGAGTCACTCTCGATTCTGAGCAGCTCACCGTCCACCTTCAGCCAAGTCATGGCCATAATCGTTGAGAAGGATGCGCCATAAAGTAAATGCCACTAAAAGATCGCACCACAGTTAGCAGTGTTCCATTAATCAACACTCCGGAGCTACATTTTGTGTCTCTCACATTTCTACAGCGTGGCCAAAACACTGTCCTGAGATACACTGGCAAGTGGTTTCCCAGAATTAAGATATTATATTACCTACAGCATTTCTCTTCTTAACTGGTCTTTTTAAAAATTTTATTTATTTTTTGTAAGGAGATAGTCTTGAGGGCCAGCGAGATAGCTCAGTGGACTAAGGACCTGCTTAGGCAAGCACAGGCACTGGGGTTCCATTCCCGGCACCACACGCTGCACCAGCCTGGACGCTGGGCGTGCTGAGCTGGCCACCGAGACTGGCGTGGTGGCACATGCCTGCAATCCCAGCGCTGCGGAGGCTGGAAACAGGAGGATCACGCCGAGTCTGAGCTGCGTAGTGAGACTGAAAGTAGTCTTGATTTTAGATGACGTACTTTCAATGAATACATGCTGGCCCCTTAACAGTCATTCTGCCCCCCCCCTTGTTCATAAAATACCTTTATTATACATTAAACAATGGTGGTCAGTCAAATGAAATTTATTGAACTAGTACTTCCAGACTCCGTATTTTTCTCCCTCTTTTTGAGAATATAGAAAATATTTGCCCATCTCTAAGATTTCTGGCACATTTTCTGATATTTTTGAATTTTGAGTCATTGCATTTCAAACGTGTGGGTTGTCTCAATATCCAGGGTCACGAGCTTGGGCCTGAAACTGTTTAAGGTAGGTATGGTATTACGCAGCGGGCTTTTTGGACTTGAACTCCTCCCAATCATATTTATTTGCCCTTTTAGTTTGAAAATCTTTCTCTTTGCTGCATGAGATAGAAATCCTCAGTATATGGTCCTATCCATCTTTTGCCTTCTGCTCAAAAGAACAAAGTATTTTTGAAAAGTCCCTAGAGGGAGTCACAAATTATGTTTTATTATTAAAATCATGATTATGCACCCTTCGGCATTTCAGACCAAAACACACGCAGGCTGCAGCAAGGTGCATGGTACGAGGGTCCGAGGCCAGCGAGCGCCCGGAGTGCAGCACCTATCCCGAGTGGACTCGGAAGGGCCTCCTCCTCTGGCCTCGACTTCCTTGCTCTCCATTTGAGAGAGGCCGGGACAGGACTCAGCGTTTGTCCCTCTCAGTTTTATTTAGTTGCCATCATAGTTCCTATGGCCGTTCCAACAGTGGTCTGTCCAAGCCCCCAGCCTTTGGCAGCAGCATTACTGAAGTGTCTTGTTTACAGTGCAGGGACTGAACAATGGAGGGTCACCTGATTTTTGAAACTTCCCTCATCCCTTTTTGAGTGTGTGTGTGTGTGTGTGTGGGAGGGAAGGATGATGGATTTCGCTGTGCTGAAAATATTTGATTTTTGCCAGTGTCAGAGTACCACAGTCCCTGCTGTCTGACTGCTTTTAAAAATGTGCTCAATTTAAAAAAAAAAAAAAAATTGAAGCTAAACCATGGCACCAGGCATAGTGTTCTGTGCCTGTAATTATAGCATTTGGGAAGCTGAGGCAGGAGGATGCAGCTCTTCAAGGCAACCTGGGCTACAAAGTAAGACCCCGTCTCAACAAAATGATAAGCTATGATTCATGCAGATGATTCCTACAGTTCAGTTTTGCCAGGTTTTGCTTTATGGAGGGTAGAGAGAACTACGCAGCAAGGGTCTCTACCTCACTCAACAAGGAGAAAGATTTTCAAAAAGGGAAAATAAAAAATACTAGTTTAAATGAGATCTGTCAGATCCCAGTTACACAGATTCCAGACAAAAGTAACTCCTGGCAAGAACTAATCAGATCACTCAGGCTGTCCTCCCCCAAGCCAGCAAGGATCCAGGGGCTCAGAAGCAGCCAGCTGTGCCCAGGACGCGTCCTCTTACTGTGCCATTATCCAGAAAGTGAGGCCGAGTGTCAGGGACACTGTCCAGAGAACGCCCCCAAGACCTGCAGTCCAGATCCAGGATTCTGAAGATAAACTGCTCAGATGATACTCAGGTAGGCAGTGAGACAGGAAGAGAAAGGCTTTGGCCCAGTGCCCGAGCCCAGAGGGGTAACTCAGGCCTGAGGCCCAGAGAGCAAGGAGTTCCCTCTATGTGCTGGTAACCTTACTAGAAACTTCTTTACCTGCTTCCTCCCTCCTCTTCCTCATGATCTTGTGAAGGGAACACTGTTACCCTTGTCCTCAGGTCAGGACAGTGACCTGTCAAGGTCACATTCGAGGGACCAAGCAGGACTGCACACAGATCTGTCCGATGCCAGCCCTGCTGCCGCCACAGGCACTGTCTTCTCTCCCCACAGTTCTCAGGTGGCCTCCAGGACCTCCTGCTGCCCCAGAACCAGTTTGCCATGTTCCTGTTCTGCTTCATCTTTGTACACATCATCTATGTCACCAAGGAGATGGTCTTCTTCCTCTTTTCCAGGCACTACCTGTTCTGCATTGCCGCCATCTTGATGTGTTTGATTAAAACTTTATGGTCCTACTTCCAAGCGCCTTTGATCTCTCCATCAACAGGAACCCCATGCTAGAGTGTTATTAGGACTGCTCCACGTAGGCGCCCAGCCTCCCTGGCTCCTCCTCCCCTCCCACGGTGCCTTCCTCCCCTTCGGCCAATCTCTCCCCTCAGCCATGAACACCCAAGTGTGAGGAAACACATCCAGATCCCTTGTGCCAAGCCTGCCTTGTCACTATGCTTTGAGGAGGTATCTAGAGGAAAGAAAGTTTCAGTCAGCCTTTCCAGAATTTTAATAGCGCTCCATGACCAAGCCAGTTTGGGTTCTACCACCTCTATGACCATTCGTAGACTTTCTCTGAGGCGTAGGGCATCTGTGGCAGCCTGGGAGATCGCTCCTCCCACCCAAGATGTCCGTGTCTCCATCCACAGAATCATGTACATATTCCCTTACACAGCAGCAGGAACTTTACAGTGTGATTAGAGACCTTGACAGAGACAGATGAGCCTGGATTGCCCAGGTGACCCTCATACAATGACAAGTATTGGGGGGGCATAAAGGGGGTGTGGTGAGAGCGATGCTGGACCACAGGTCAAGGGATGTGTACAGTTTCTGGGGCTGGAAAAGGCAGGAATCTGGATTCTCTCCCAGAATCTCCACAAGGAACTAGCCCTGCCAACCCATTTTAGGCTTCTGACCACTAGAACTGCAACAGAATAAATGTGTTTTAAGCTGCCAAGTTTGTGATAATTTGTTATAGCACCAATAAGAGACTCGTCCAGGAGCCAAGATGCCCTAGCCCCTTCCAGCTACAAAGCGTGTCAGAGGTGGTTACGTGGCTGCTGGCCAGATCTGCTGACCACTGGCCTGAGCAGCACAGTACAAAGCTGACCATTCAGGCCTGGCGCCTGCCTTCAGGCAAGGTCAGATTGAAAAGGAGAGACGCAACCTAGGTGTGGTGGCTCACACCTGTCATCTCAGCATTCGTGGAAGCTGAGACAGGAGAATCACCGGTTTAGGCCCAGCCGGGGCAACTTAGCAATTTAGGGAGACCCTGTCTCAGTAAAAAGTTGGGGATGTACATAGCTCATCAGTGCAGAGGCCTTGGGTCCAGTCCCCAGCACAGCCAAAGGGGAAGAGAACAAGAGCTCTTGAGGCCCAAGAAGCTCGGCAGTCTGCTCAGAACCTGGTGGGAAGGGGGGCCTGTCCAGAAACCACAGCAGAAGCAGTAGTACAGCCCTTGGCGAGGCAGGTAGCAAAATCCTGGGGGTATAAAGAATGAAGCAGGGGCTGGAGAGATGGCTCAGTGGTCTAAGGCACCTACTTAGAACAAGCTTGGCAAAGCATCAGGGACCGCGGTTCAATCCCCCAGCACCACATGCCAGCCAGCCCCGCCCCCTGGTGGGCTGAGCTGGCCACACACACACACTCTCTCTCAAATAAATAAAAAAAAATTAAAAAAAAAGAATGAAGCACCTGACTGGGCCCAAAGAAAGTCATCAATGTGACTCCCCTGGGCGAGTTAGAGGAGGAAAATACAGACAAACAAACCGACCAACCGACAGACCCATGAACCGATCACACACAGCTCTCCCCATGCCACCTACTAGCCCGGGCCTGCAGACTCACAAAACTGCAGAAAAGTTAAACCAGAAATAAGTACTCAGACTTACAGACACAGAGTAATAAGGGGCTATCTACAACACACATGTTCACAGCCCGCGCCCACGAGCACGCACAAACATGCTTGTGTGTGCGCAACAAGCAAAAAACAGACTGAACGCTAAAGGAACAGGAAGAGGCAGAACATGGGAGGTTCCCAGGTGACAAAGGAGTTGGAGTCCCTCCACTGGCTCCCACCCCCTCTCCACCCCACCCTGCACTCTCAGCAGCTCTGACTCCACTGGGGATCGAGGGGAGAGATCACCAGGACAGCCCGGTGGCAAGGAGCCACCTGTTCACTGGGCGACTGCAGGCAGATGTGGGCATGCACACAAACCAGAGAAGCCAGGGGCTAGAAGGTCACTTAGTTGATATCTTTGTTGTCAGGTAAAAGTGGCCTTAGAGGGCCGGCAAGATAACTCTGTGGACTAAGCGTCTGCTTAGGCAAGTGCAGGGACCGTGGTTCGATCCCCAGCACGAATGCCATGTCAGCGCCGCCCACAGGGTGCGCTAAGCCAGGCGTGGTGGCACACGCCTATAAGCCCAGCCCTGGGAAGCTGAAAGCAGGAGGATCACTACAAGTTTGAGTTGCATAATGAGGCCCTGTACCAAATACATTTTTTTAAAAAAGGGGGCCAGGGAGATGGCTCAGTGGAATAAGCGCTTCCCTGGCAAGCGCAAGGGCCTGAGTTCAATCCCCGGTTCCACCAAAAAAAAAAAAAAAAAAAAAAAAAAAAATCTACAAACAAGGTTTAGTTTTCTCTGAGTGAACCCTCAGCTATGGAGGTCAGCGCTCCCTGCTCCCCTCCTATTATGCTTCAAGCCTGAAGCCAGGAGCCTGAGACACATCCTTTAGGAAAATGACAATTCTTGGTTGCTCCCCAAACAGTTCAGGTTTCCTCATTGAAATGCAAAACATAAAAATCAGGAGGGGGCCAGGGAGGTAGTTCAGTGGAATAAGCACCTGGCAGGTGCAGGGTCCCGAGATCAAGAACCAGTACCCCCGCCAAAAAAAAAAATCAGGAGGGAGGGAGCCTCAAGGATAAGAGGAAGGCCAAGCAGCGAGGGCCAACCAGGTAGCAGGCCGACTCACAAGCTCCTCTTAAACACCTCCACTCTGCGCAATGCTTCTGGAGACCACAGTGTCCAAACCCGGGGACTCTGATGTCTGTCACCCCCACACGCACACAGAGGGGGGCACTGAGGCTCCGAGTCTGGCTCTAGAGTACTTTCCCTGCACCCAACACCCTGCCTGGGAGCAGCTCAGAACCTTGCCAGAAGCTGAGTTTAACAGACAGGAAGGTGTGACAGAACCGTCAGGCAGCGGGCAGTGGGCAGTGGGCCTCTGTTACCAAGGTCAGCAGCCCTGGGTAGGGCGGTGAGCCTGCGATCCATGCAAAGATGGAGGAATAAAACACTAAGGGTGGGAACATAGGCCGAACTCACAGCAGCAGGGTCATCCTCACTCCAGTGAATGGTGTACAGGGTAAGAGGCCCATAAACATAAGCAATCGCTGAAGATTGTAGGGGGAACAACGGCCCAAAGGCCCTTCTTTCCCTAATTTCTGGGGACCTGTTCTGGCCTCAACTTTCCCTTCCCATTTCCAATGGGGAAACATTCTTTCTTTACAGTCTTGAGTTTAAGGGTTGCATTCAGCTGTAAAAGAAATCCAGCTGTGGTAGTTTAACCACAAACTGGCTTGTGCCTTTTACATGCCAAGAAGTTGCAGGGGTCAGTACTGGCTGGTGAAACTCTTCGGAAGTCACAGACCACCGGGGCAGCTCCTCAGCCCACGCTCCTCAGCACCCCCCTTTTATCCTTACCGGCCAGCTTTCAGCCTCATCATCTGAAGACTGCCCCCACAGCCCCACACACCACGTCCACAGTCCCAAGTCAGGCCAGTGAGGGGAGAAAGTCAGCTTCCTGTTAAAGGCTCTCCAAGGAGTTCCGCTCAAAGACTTCTGCTGCACCTCATTGGTCAGGCCGGGTCACGAGGCTACTTGGAGCTTCAGGGCTTCAGGGTTGGTGAGGTTTTGCCTTGGTTCCACTAAACCCTTGTGGAGGACCACCTGAGCAGCCCTCCGTGATAGAAGAGCGACTGTCTCCATTTTGACTGAGCCTGACCCTATTTCCTCGTATCGTTATGCACAGAGCTGGCCAGGACTTCTGTTTATCCTTCAGTCAGCCTTAAGCAATGTAATTGGTCTAGCTGAGGTGCTGGTGATAGTCTCTGAAGGTGGAGTGCGTGTTTCCCTGGTAACCTACACCTGCTGCTCTTGAGTGTGAGCCTGGTCGAGACAGGATGGTAGAGCTAATGCTCCACACCACCAGCTGGGAGATCAAGCCCCAAGATAGAGGCTGTGACTTCCTGGGGCTTGAAGGACCATCAGAGCTGAAGCAGCAGACTCCCCAAAACATTGGATGCTGTCTCTGTAGCATGATATTATAATGCAGATTACTCTCTCTGCATATGGCAGAGGCAAATGCAGGCCACCCACCTGGCTCAGCTCACAGAGTCACCTACTTCCCACAGTTCTCAGTCAATCCTCCTCAAGCCACTCCTCCACTAAATAAAACCGGGTGAGGCCCTGGGTGGCTCTCTTTATTCCGGGAAGCCATCTTCATGGCTGAACTTAGAGCTCCTTAACTCCCCAATGACTGAAAATATAATTTAGCGTCTTTATTTTCGCCATGGATTGCATTGAAAGTGGTAGATTGGAATTAACTTGATGGGATTCCAATAACATAACTTTGGGATTACAAACATTGGCTTCTTGGACCAAGATGAGAACCTGGAAGTGTCTCCTACAAACCCTGAACAAAATTAGGGTCCTGGTAGTGTGGGGGAGGGGAGACACTGGGTATACAAATAACTGTGCCC